TAATTGATCCTGGTCCGTTCACTTTGTCGAAACTCATGCATGGCTTTAAGCCAACAGTCAAACTCTTGTGTTGTGTTCGGGCCCTCTATTACTTCAAAGCTGACGACCACTTTGCACGGCTCGCTGCCTATCAAATGCGCTGTAATATAAATTCAACATGGTAGTTTAACATGATACGAACAATTAAATTGTTTTTAAAAACATTGAACTTTACTAATAATAAAACATATTATTATACACTGGCTTATGATTATTAAAAAGTATTATTATGAATTAAGTAATAGTATTAACTAGGCTCATATTAAACCACTGATTTATGATACTTGCATACCTAAAATTAAATGACCCAAAATGATTAGTAAAATCATTTTAATGCCAACTTTATGATGGAAATACCGGTAAACAAATACACAAACTCTGAGTTCTGTAAATGGAGTTAAATTGTTATGTTTGGTAGCATTGGTTACTATTTATATATCAATTTCTTATCGATACTTGGAAATTGTCATTCAAGGATTTGTGTGTATTAATGATTAAACAATCACAATTTTAAACTCAGTCCGTACTCATGTAGGATATATGTGTTATGTAAGTTGGTTATTAGGTCAGATCCTGTTCCTAATCACGATGTCACATTTAGATCATGCTTAATTTAGATACGTTAAAACTGGGGAACAAGTGTCCACAAATGAACTTTTTCTATTGTACTTGTATACTTATATTTAATATTTATGTTTAGTACTTATACAGTATCTACAATGAATCGTTATAAACTGAAATATACTGCGGCTGATAACGAAGCACAATTTCTTATATGGATTAAAAAGATAAGCATTGGAATTTAAAAAATAGTCATGTGCTAAAGTATGAACCCTAAAATTATTAGCTTTATTATTTTTAAAAAACTTACATATATTGCAATTTGAGTGCATTTAATAAATTAATTTAAAATCAAATGTCATTTCTTATTTTAATTGCAACCAAATTGCAATATTTTTAAGCTTATTTTGAAAATAATAAAGTTAATAATTTTTTAGGGTTCATACTGACTGTATTTTTGATATACCATATATGTCTAGTATATGTTAATCAGTGTGATTATCAGTTGATAAATTTATAACGTGTAACCTCAACATAATGTTTAAATTCCTATGTCCAATGCTAATCATGTTCATTATTGTTCAAGATAACTGGTTGCTTTTAGATATTCAGTTTGAAATGCATTAAGTGCTTTTGAGTACTAATAAAGACATTAAAACGACCTTGCACAAAGTAGGAATATGTTATAGATATACTGTACAGGTATATCATATACATTATAATTAACACAATTTGTGACAAAAAATAAAGACACTGACGCTCCCCACTCCTGAATGCTATCAATAAAGGACCGGTGGTTGAACGACACACGCCCCCACCTCTGCCCCGACTCAGCCCACACCAGCGCCCGGAACCATATACACAAAGGAGGGGCTGGTGAGGATCCCCAAGGACTGTCACTATTACCATAAGTGCACCGAAATGTTTCCCGGAATATACAGTAGTGGACAAGCGAAAGTATAGCTGGTTTTTCTTTGATAATTTCTAAACGGATTATCGTATCTATGATCTGACTTCAGATTCTTAAACCCAGATAAATGACAGTTCTTTCGGTATATAAGATCACATTTTTATGTTATCAGGTTATAAAGATATTCATGTTTGAATATTGACAAGAGAAATCAGGAAACCCTCATAGAAAATGCATTGTCTTTTCATGTCAATTTAAATATTTTTTCCTTATCTTACAAAATATGAAAATAACTATATCTTGGTCATTTTGGGTGCGATTTTTAAATAGTAAAAATCAATTTGCGTAATATTTAAATGCGTTTAATGCTTGCTAATTACATTTGAAAATTTCTCATAATTTTAAGTCTATCTTTCTAACCCTTTGTCCTAGAACAAATCTGTAAAGTGCATTGAAAAGAGCATAAAAATCTAGTCTAGATCAATTATTAATATCTGTTAAATCCAAGCTTCTGGTGTACTATATTAATTAAATAACATTTTAAATTTTATAGCGACGAGAAGAAGGCCTGCGATGGGGTTCTCGTGTTTGACGAGAAGGACGGCACCTGTAAGGAGAAGCAGTTAGTGCCCGGCTGTTAGGACAGGCATGTCATTTGGTTTCAGATATATTCTTTAAATCATGTTTTTTTTGTATAAATATGTGAGAGGTATGTGTGAAAGGAATTGACCGATAATTTTAATTTTAATTCCAATTCTCGTTGTCTGTAATTGACTTTAAATGTGATCATCAAATAAATCAAATTAATTAGTATTTCGCAAACAATTTGTTTTATTAATTATCATGAAACTGATTACTGATTTTAGATTTGACAAAAACTAAATTAATAGAATTATAAATTATAGCAATTATTGTTATACAGGTATCAGTTTGTTAACTTTATAAACACAATTAAAATACAATTGAAATTATAATATAAGAAATTTGTATTACAACCTGAATATCATAACAAGTCTATCGGCATTTCTACGGTAATATAAATGTGATTATTATGTGTTTCTTAAATGTACGCATTTGTGACGATCCAGATGATATTGTCGTGTAAAACGTTTGCTACAATTGCTGTCATCGCAGACAAATGGTTTGATTTTCAAGTGAATGCTATATTTGTGTCGATTTAGGGCTGATTTCTGTGTGAATCGTTTGTCGCAATCCATGCATCGCAGGCAAACGGACCCGTTTGTGACAAATTAAACCCATTTTAAATGCAAACCCTTGATCACATCCCTTATAATCGCATTTAAATCTTTTTACCTTCAAATGAACGATAATTTTATGGTGATTTAAATTCGATTTTTGTGCAAAACATTTGCCGCAATCCATTCATTGCATTTGAATGGCTTTTCCCGAATGCAAGCGTTTATGTTGATTGAGACTAGACTTGTTAGAAAACCGTTGACCACAACCCTCGACATCACATCTGAATCTCTTGAGCTTCAAATGGACGGCACTTTTGTGTTCTTTGAGATTATATTTACGAGCGAATTGTTTGCCACAATTGGGCCAAAAACACACAAATGGTTGATCACCTGAATTAAGGGCACCATTACCTTCATTTGGTTCACAATTATCAATGCCTTCCCTCCCATCGCCTCCTTCTGTCACTTCTGGAGTGTCTTTGTGTTGGTCTCCGACACCACTCTCTCCGCCTTCTTCTGCTTCAGACATCTCTTCCGGTCCTTCCGTCTCATCTCTGTCTCTGTCGTCGACTTCTGTGCCCAAAGTCTTTACTTCTTGTGTCTCCTCTAATACCACAAGTGATTCCAGTTCACCGATGTTCTCATCGACCACTCCATCCACTTCCTGGACCTCCCGGTGCTCGTCGGGTTCACCACTCAATGGGTTATAATTGGCATTAATTCTCAACAAATTTCGACAATTTGTGAAATCAATTGATTTGTCATTCAATTCATGACTATTGAGTGAAACATAGTTTGCATTCAATTGAGTGACTCTTTCACACAAATTGTTATCAAAAGCCTTTAGATTTGATAATAAATTCAGTTTTGACTTCATTTGACTACTAATTAAATTAATGTCTGTATTGTCACCCATTTTGAGAGCAATTTAATTCAACACAAATTGATTCACAATTAAGACTCAAAACGTGTTCAAAAATCACAAAATGATTGACTTTTTTGCTTACAGTTTGTGAGTCAATACACGTCTAACACTTCAAAACTACTGTACAGTACAGTACAGTATATCAATTAATATTAAGAAACACTAATTTATGCTAAGATTTAGTTATTTTAATAATTATTTTATATTTCAATTTAAAATTCATTTAACCGTAATTTTAAAACAATTACTGTTAATCTAATAGACAATTATATTTTGAAATTAAGACAAATATTTTAATCTACAATGTAGATTCTACATGCTAGTACATTATACTGTACCTAGAGTATGTATATTTTTAAACAGATACTCTCTAAAAATTTAATGTTACTGTAATTTAATAAATAATTGCCTTTCAATACCTAGGCTAAAATTGCCATTTAAATCATTTTATGAAATAAAACTTATTCTAAAATAAAATTAATTTAACAAAATTAAAATACAGAGACTATTGTGAAATTAATTCAGTATTGCGACTGACCAAGCGCATTGCCGGTTAACATGTATTATGAATTAAACTTTTGATTTATAAATGAACACAACAATCAAACTGATAAATTGATAACAAAATCAGTAGTCAGTCATGGCTTTCCCAGGTAAAAGGTCCCCGCTCATTAACCATCCATTGTATATTGCATTTAAGGAATACCAGACCTTATCAGATGTACAGAAAACAAATTTCATACCTCCAGTTCCCCGTCCATTCACACCACAACCCTTCCCACCATTACATAAAACAACACAAACTATTGGACAGGAGGTGAGCGCACACCCACTCGGAACTCAAGTGGTTCTCACACCAGATCCATAGCCACTCAATGGCCTCCAGAGCCGTTCAGTACCACGAGCTCTAAAATCATAAGTATATTAAATCATGAAATGAGATTAAGCAAGATAAATCTGGAAGCATTGATGTATAGAAATAAAATAATTCAAATTTAAGTATTTTATCCGATATATACAGTAATCTCAGAAAAGTGATTAAAATTCATAATTTTTAAAAGTAAAATCATATCACATAACAGTCATTGTTGGCAAACATAGTGTCTCTCCGGTCGGCACTGAAGTACTAAATCCCAAGAAATGCCTCAAAAGCGCCGCAATTCCAGAAAGTATGGCCGGATTTGGCACTCAAGAGACAACATATATCGACCCATAGGTTGGGTCAGCGGGAGGTCAGGGATTACTTCCGAAGAGTACTCCCTGTCTGACACTGAAGACGAGGAGTACACTAAACCTAATGACTCGGAGGAAGAGCTTCCCCATGAGGCCGAACCCCTGCCAGACATTGCGGAACAGGAGGAAGAGATTCCTCCTGAAGCTCAGCCCCAATCAAACATTGAGGAACCGGAGGATAAAGCAGAGGAAACGGAGGAAGAGGTTCTGTGGAGGAAAACAGTGGAAATACTACCAAAACTGGCCGAACAGGGCTTTCAAATACAATTCACAAAAGATAGCCATAAGGGAAAGGGATCCTTCGGCACCGTCTACTCCGGGGTCTTCACAGCCGTAAGTATTACTAAAAACTCAAAACTAATTGACAATAAGTTTCAACACATTTACCACTCCTTATAGATCCCGATCATCGATGGTGAGGAACTGGTGGGTAAGCCGTTTGCCGCCAAGTATATGCAATTTGATAGTAAGTCAGTCGGCGGTCCCCTCTATAGCTTAGGCCTGTTTCGCCGGGAGGTGGAGGCGCTCACACGGATGTCTACCCGTCAGCACGTGAATATCGTTAACTACATAACGGCTCTATATTTGGGCGCTCAGGAGGAGATGGTCTACCACGAAGACACAGACACTGGTTATCGACGGGTGTTCCTGATCATGGAGTGGGCGGACCAGGGTGACCTGGATGCAATCGCCAAAACGGGTAGACTCAACGACAGGTTATGGCTGCAGTTTGTGCCCCAATTGTGCGCCGGTATGTCATTGTGTCCTAGCATTCAATTATCATTAGTGTATAAAATCTTATACTAATTGTATCTATTTATCACTAAATCTTAGGTTTGGTTCACATCCAGAGCCTATTCGTCGCACACAACGACATAAAAATGCCAAATGTCTTAGTGGTCACCGGACCTGATGGCCAATTGGTGCCTAAATATGCCGACTTCGGGAGCAGTCGGGTGTACAACAAGTGGAACAACGACATGACCAGGGATGGCAACGATTTGGGCCGTATGTTGGCCTATATGTTGACATTTGTGGACAAATGTGCTACAAATGAGGGGTTAGGGGGACTCCAGAGGTGGCGGGATGTCGTGATTCAGGAGGTGAGGTTTGCGAAGGGACCGCTACGGGATGTCCTCAAAAAGTTTGATATAACTTACTAATTGCTTGGCACCGGTATGTCATTCTAGAAATACGAGTAAAGGGTTTTTGTACGGTATTACAAAACTTGTAATATAACATAAATCAAAATGTTTTAATTTCTAGATTTTTGAATTAGTGTTACAATAAGTTATGTATGGATACTGTATATCTGTATTAAGTACAGTGTACAGTACCAGTATATACCGGTAATTATTGTGTATACTGTATTGTATGCTGATGAAATTATTAATTCAATATAATTTCTAAATCAAAATCATAAGTATAGTCTTACTTTTAAACACAATTTTTAAAACAAAACTAAACCATAATCTTAAAAATTTTACAAAATTACAAAACAACTATTGTTTTGCAATTCGGTTCGTCAGTTCGGTCGGCACTAAGACATTAGATCCCAAGACATGCCGCGAAGATTCAGAAGTGGGAAACCAAAGAAGTATAGTACGGATTATCGCTTAAGAAACCCCATTCAAGTGGACAGGTCAAGGAATCCGATTCCAGAGGCACTGGGGGTCACCGGTCAGGATGTATTACAACCGACTGATCAGTTAGAGCCCGTAGTGGAGGAACAGGTAGTTCAGAAGTTGGCTGTTCCGACGAACACACCGGGGAAGTGGTGATCAACATTATTGAAGACCCGGAACAGATAGCAAATACTAGTGAATCAGATCTCAGGGAGAAAACGGAAAGGGATTTACCACAACTCGAAGCACATGGCTTTCGCATAGACTTCCCGGATAGTGTAGGCGCCGGACTCTTTGGCACTGTTCACTCCGGTACGTTCACTCGACCCGTAAGTATTGCTATAAAACACAAAACTAATTACCAATAAATCTAAACCCATTTATGACTCCATTAATAGGTCCTGAATATAAGCGGCGGTGTGGAAGAGGTAGGCCAGGGATTTGCCGCTAAGTATATGCAGTTCGGTGCGGACAACCTTAATGGTCAGCTCAACCGCTTAAATAGTTATCGCCGGGAGTTGGAAGTGCTCAGACGGGTGGCCGCCAACCCTCACTACAATATCGTAGACTTCAAAGTGGCGGTAAGTATTGGTCCGACTTATGAGTTGGTTGACACCAACGGAACCCCATTCAATGACTACCTCCGAGTGTTTCTGGTCATGGAGTTGGCCGATAGGGGTACGCTTAGTACCCTGGTCACCACCAAGCAACTCACCGATACCCAATGTGTGCAATTTATACGCCAATTGTGCTCCGGTATGCTCGCTATCTTACTACTCAATTAGCATAAGTGTATAAAACATGTATTAATTATGACATTATCACCAAATCTTAGGTATGGTTCACATCCAAAGCAATCTATTTATATACGACAGCGACGTCAAGATGCCAAATGTCTTACTGTTTTCCGGATATGATGGCCAATTGGTGCCTAAATGGGCCGACTTCGGGGTGAGTCAGTTGTTCAACATGTGGAACGGCAGTATGATCAGGGATGTCCAGTTGATGGGCTATATGTTTCAGGATATGATAGGCACTGTGGGCAGGCATGACAATCGACAATATCTACTATATTCAGACCATTGGCTAAGAACAGGCCCCCAGAGCCCCGGGCTATCATCGGCCAATTAGTCGAGGAATGGCGGCTCTCGTCTATCACATGATTCGCGTGAATCCAAGTGTCAGTCAATCATTTGCTGAGCCATCCGATGCTTCAATAGATTCGACAAATCACACCATAATTGCAAATATTTGTCTCATTTGTGACTTAAGAAATCAAATAAAATCATTTCAATGCAAATCATATGCGAAGTATTCATAAAACAAAATTAATTTTTACCACAAAATTAAGCGATAAGTTAAGAGTCATAACCATATCCTATGATTATTCTGACGAATATACGAATGTAATAATCATTATAATTGCATATAATTAGTCAGAAAAGTTAATTTATTTCATTTATAATTTCTAATTTAAAATTAATTTATGAAAACCAAAAATAATACAAAACTTTGTTCATAACAGCCATTGTTGGCAAATACTGTCTGTCCGGTGATCACCAAAACACTAAACCCCAAGAAATGCCGCGAAGACCCCGAAGGAAAAGAAGTTTTTTCGATCGCCGGTCGAGTGACAGTTCAGACCTTTCGGATGTACCGGAAGTGCCTGACCTGACGCCCCCTCCGGACTCACTGGATGTGAGCAGCGATGAGGAGTCGGAACCGGAGGACAGCACTCTGAGAGCCAGAACGGTAAGGGATTTGCCAAAATTTAAGGACCGGGGGTTTGACATAAACTTCTTAGAGCCTATAGGACAGGGATGTTTTGGCATGGTTTGCACCGGGGTCTTCACACCAGGCGTAAGTATTGACAACAAATACTTTTCAATATCTAATAAAACATAAGCTTTAACACATTGATCACCCATTAATAGATCCGAAACATACCCGGCTGTAGGAAACTGGAGGGCCAGGAGTTCGCGGCGAAGTATTGCGAGATACGACCAGGGGCATTCACACCCATGAGCATTGACCTGGAGATACGGGTGCTCAACCGACTGGCCGCCACCCCTCACCCCAATGTTGTCAACTACATAATGGCTGTCAAACTGGGCTCAAAACGTGAGGTGCAGTACCCGGCGTTCAAAATCGAAACTTACCAAAGAATGTTCCTGATCATGGAGTTGGCAAATGAGGGTGACTTGAGCACCATGATCACCAGGAACAAACTCAGCGACGTTTTATTCGTGAGGTTTATGCGCCAATTATGCGCCAGTATGACATTGTTTCCTAGCATTCAATTATCAGTCGGGTATAAAAACTATGTATTAATTGGTATCCATTTATCACTGAATGGTAGGTTTGGTTCACATCCACAGCCTATTCATCCGTCGCAATGACATAAAGCCGGCGAATGTCTTAGTGTTCATCGAAAGCGACGGCCAATTGGTGGCCAAATGGGCGGACTTCGGGTCGAGTGAGTTGTTCACTGAATGGGACGATAAGATGCTGTCAGACGTGAAAATGTTGGGCAAAATGCTGGACCGGATGATGACGGCCGCCGGCAACTGTGAATACAGTACAGGGATAGACACCAAACAGTTTAAGGGACTGGTAGATAGGATGAAGGTCGCCACAGAACCGTTGCACGTGGTGCTCAAGTCCAGAGATTCCCGGTGCTCTATTCTATAGTTTAATTGTTGGGCACAGGTAGGTGATTCTAAAAACACAGAGTAAATTATTTTTTGTACCACAAATCAGATGTTAATTTTTAGCTATGTTTGTGATTTGTTCTTGGAGAATATACTGGTACAGTATGGTTGATTATCATTGACAAGAATATTAATTTTATTGATTTATGATTAATTTATACTAGCTACATAAAATTTCACCTCACCGTACTG